TGTTCTTGAGTTTGTATGATGATTCACTAGATCTTTTCTTATTCCGCACATGCCATCATAATCAACACCACTACACTGCCATTCCCATTATCCCATGAACTACAGACCAATACCTATTGAACTTAGAAACCATTTGGTTAGCCATCTCCCTAATCTCCTTAATAGGATATTTCGTCCACTCATGCAAAGAATACCCAATCTCACATATCAAAGGAAAAAAAACATTAGTTGTAGGATACTTTGAACCAGTGAACATAACAGTCACCTCATAAAAAAGTTGTAATCTTTCACAAATCTCACTAGCCAACTCCCAATCCTGGTCTGTAGGAAAACATGTATACTTCGGGTCTATTGTCTTTACCCGATCGAAACCTCTTTGTAACTTATAGCAACACTCAACATCAAGAATGTAGATTTCCACCGCATCTTGCAGTCAAGTATCAACTTCTTTGAGTATGGTATTCCCAACTGTTCTGCTGCTGTCTGAAAATTTTGCTCCGTCTTTGGTGATGCAGAACAAAATGCAACACTCTCTCTAATTATCTCAATCTCAAATTTAATGAGAGATAAGCCATCTTGGACAATAAGATTTAGAATATGTGTACAACAACGCATATGAAACAAATCACCGTTCATCATTAGTGATTTTAGAGGAAGCTTCTAATAATAATATCCTGATAATTGCATCATTTGTGGTGCAGGTATCCACACTAAGAGTTGACACTTTCCTATCAAGATTCCAATCACACAAAGTAACATAAAGTATGTCTGCAAGAACATCAGATGTATGCGGACAAGGCACGTAAATAAACCTGTTTAAGAATATATATATATATATATATATATATATATATATATATATATATATATATATATATATGTTAATATTAACATATAAATAATAAGTATGTATAAATTGTAGTTAAATAAGTATAATATACCTCATAATTCTGCTTTGCAAGTTCCAATTTTGATCTACAAAATGTGCTGTGATTGCCATAAACCCTTTTTTTATGATTAGATGTCCACATATCGGTAGTAACTGCAATTCTGCTTTTGTTCTTTGCGAACAAACTCATAGTTTTATCCCTTTCGTAATCATAAATACTTTTGATGTCGCCCTTGATGGTGTTTCGACAAGGAACCTTATACAAAGGTTGAAGACCTCCCACAAACTTCCTAAATCCACGACGCTCTACAATCGAAAGCAGATACTCGTGCACAATAATCATTTCAGCCAAATCCTTCGTTGAAGTATCAATATTAAATGTATAATTTGAGACATGCATTGTAGTACCATCTACCTTTTTTTCTTACACCAAGATAGATTGGCGAATATCTGTAAAAGGTTTGTGTATACAACATTTATAATGTGCAAGTAAATGTTTTGTGCCATTATTGCTATCTGCACCCAATACTTTAGAGCAATATTTACATTTTGCTTTAACCTCATCATTCAATTTAAATTTTTTAAAATGGGGCCATGCTGGTGAAAGTGTTGCCCTTTTCGAACCAACCACTTCATCTCCATCCTCATCAAAAAATGTATCATTAATATTTGTCCCATCTTGTTGATCCACATAATCAATATTTTGTTGATTAGAACCCGAACCTCTCACATCTTGACTACTTGCAGTTGGAGCATTATTTTGATTGTTTGAATTCATATTTCCTGAAAAATAAAAACCAATGTAGTATTACATTCAATAATTCTAAACAGATCAGGTTTCAACAACACAAAAATCAGATTCAACAGTTCATATAAGCACAAATTCTAAATCAGAAAATCTAAAATCGGTTTCAAGAGTACAAATTAGCAAAAAGTCAGATTCTAACAGTTCAAATAAGCTGAAATTCGAAATCAGAAAATCAAAAATCGGTTTCAAGAGTACAAATTAGTACAAAATCAGATTAACAGTTCAAACAAGCTCAAATTCAAAATCAGAAAATAAGAAATCAGTTTCAACAATGCATTTAAAGGGTGAAAAGTCAACTAGTGGCTTGTTATTTCACTCTTTATCAACAGAACCTATGGTCATTTTCAAGAAAGAAAGAAGGATGCGATCGATTAAAGAAGATAAGAGGTCCAATTTCGAGTTTAATATTGATACCATTACTTGTGATTTTTTCTTGTGTGTGGCGTCGATCGAAGAGAAAGAAGAGCTGTATCAATTTAATTTTTGGGCCTGTGATTTTTTGAAACAATAGAAGGAAGAACCGACGATAGGACGCAAGGGTCGCTGGTACTATTGATGGACCAAACAAGAACCGACGAAAGAATCAACAGAAGCTGTATCGATCAATCGATGCGATGGGCCAAACATGGTTACTGCCTTGCTAGTCGCTGCTTGCTGGACGATGGTCGCAACTTGCTATTGATGGACGATGGTGTACTCGAAAATTTGATTTTGTCAATTTAGAATATTCATTTGAGTATAGAGGAAATGAGTCAATGACGGCTGGAAGAGAAGCGTGATTTTAGGGTTAGTCTTCCAGGGGCTGAAGTGTTATATATATATATATATATATATATATATATATATATATATATACACACAGTGGCGGATTGTAAGAGGGGCTGGGGGAGGCCATGGCCCCCCCGGTTTTGAGCTTCTTAATACCCAGATATGTATAATATATTTATAAAGTTATCCAACAGTAAAAAAAATTATTAATTTGGCCCCTGTTTTTCAATCAATGAAAAAACTTAATTATTATCAAAAAGTGTAAACAAAATAACCATGATATACGCAAAAAGATCCGAAAATCACTGCTAAATTTAAAAGAGATATTGTTTCATTAGGAAAAAGAAAATTAGGAAACTAAAACCCTATAAAAACTAATCAAAATTCTAACCATATTTATACAATTCTTGACTCAAACCTTGAGTTTAAAAAAATCCCCGCCGATTACAGCTTTTCGCCTGATTTCCATTGATCAGTGCCCTCTGCCGGAGTTTAAGAAAACCTGAGGTTAAGAAGATCTTATTTCCATCTTTTCGTCTCCTTCTCTCCTCTCCATATGAGACCAAAGAGGGTACTATCTTTTCTCTTTCTCTTCTCCCACCAAAAGTTTTATCTTTGAGTTAATAGATATGAAATATCTTTAGACCGTAACTTGCAGACTCGTGAATGCAGACTCGTGAAGTGTGATGTAGGTAGTAGAGTGTGATGTAGGTAGTAGGTTAGACTTGTAGAAGGAGAACTATTATCTATAATTTAAATTTATTTATTGTTTACTTTGAAATTATATATTATATCCGTAAGTGAAATAAAAAGTTAGAATCATCATAATATGTATCTATGTATGGGTTATGTATATCTTATTTAAAATCAGAATATGTATATGTTATTTAGTTTTAGTATGAGTCTTATAATTTCAAAAAGGTTAAAGAATAAAATATAATAGCTAGCCTTGGGATGATTTTTTGGTTTTTGGTATTTTGAAAGACAATTTGTTGAAAAAATTAGTTTAGAAATTTTTTTTGTAAGATTTTAAATCGACGAGTTCCACATCAATAAGGAATACTACGCTATAGATATAAGTTTTATTTTTTAGAGTGCATAATTTTGAACAAAATTTTCTTGTCAATATTGTTATATATATTTTGAAATTTTGATTACGGCCCCCTATTTATTGCGCTTGTGTTCCGCCCCTATATATATATATATATATATATATATATATATATATATATATATATATATATATATATATATATTCGGGGCGGGGTGGGGCAGACACATCCCACTCCCTGCCCCGAACCCGAAAAAAATACCCGATACCCGATAAGAGCGACCCGAATCGACCCGAAATATTCGGGAATCGGGTTTCCCCGTCGGGTTCGGATTTTTTTGCCATCCCTACAAGCACTTCATGTGCATCATAGGTTAGCCAACTTAAGTTTTGCTCAAAATCATACATACTATATGAGTTGGATGTCATCCAGAACAAAGGTTCCAATGTTCCGTTTCCACTAACTCTTCTGCGCATATACTTGAACACACTTTTACAAGTATACCCATGATAAGGATCAGGGAATACCTGACATATGCAAGAACTAATGATGTTGTTTATATTGGTTATGAACGATACTTCCCTACCCTTTTTGAGAGCTTCCTTCAACCTCATCAGGAACCAGGTACAAGGGTCGACATTATTTGCCACGCCCAGACCAAGCGCTATAGGTAGGGTCTGTTTGTTCCCGTCCATAGCAACCGCTACGCACATTGTGTTTAGGTAGTCGCCTCTTAGACGCACACTACCTATAAAGATGACAAACAACAAGCAATCTATGAATGCCTATAGCTATATTTTTTTTGGAAAAACAAACCACGATGCTTTAAGTATACAAACGATATAAATTTTAAAGAAATACTATAAGTATGGAACAACAAAATTTACCACACATCCAATAGCCGCAAAATAGACTTGGAAACGATCCATGACATTAGTTTTGATGTTCACGTAACTATGAGGGTTGGTCCGACTAATGTTGTGTAGGTAAACAGATAGGTTGGTAAAACTTTTTTCGTGTTCACTTTCTGAGAAACTCATCTTGAAGGAGTTATACGAGATAATTACGGATGATCACAAGTAAACGTCTAACTACATGCGGTAACAATTATATATACGAGATGAAAATTGATGTTTTATAATCTGGAACAACTGTTCCGAGCGTGTCTGTGACAACGTATTATCACTTTAAAGTAATAACCTGACAATTGTACAAAGATTCCTGTTTCAAGGGATACTCCAAAATGTTAGTCCGGAATGTACGAACAGACCTAAGCTCTGGAATGATTACCTTTGCCGTGGAATGCTATATTCCGAACAAAATGATTCAAAAATAAAATAAGATTGATTATTATTATTAAAATACCGGTTTACCTTATATGGTATGGGTACTCGATTTCCATTTTTATATTTCTTCTAATTTGATCTTTTAATAAATGAAATAAACCACAAAGGGTATTCCAAGGTTCATATATCCACCTACACCCGATTCGACAAACCCAACTGCAGCGTGCGACGTGTCCAGATACATCCCCTCTGTGCCTGCTTCGTCAAACCAACGCCATTCCATCAATCCTCCCTCATCTTCTCTCTCTCTCTCTCTCTCAACCCTTCGCCGTGTGCAAGCAAAATTCATCGAAACCGTTTCATTTTCGTCCATCATCATCACGCTTCGATTGGTCTCCGGAAGGTACGCCGTACGCAACGTCGATTTCAAATCATTGGGGATTAGGGTTTTTGATTGTAATTTGATGGAACACACAATCACTGGTTACTTTCTCCATTACTGCAATCGCTTCTTAGGTCTTGACTCTTGTTGCCGCTCTTCTTGTTGTCACTGTTAGGATTTGGTAAACAAACTTCATTTCCACGTTGTCTTGTTACAAATCAATGGATTTGACCCGAGCTCACCAATCAAACCTATCGTTAGGGTTTGTACCTCACTCTTCGCATAGTAATCAAATAGCCAACGACACTGTATCCTTCCAGATCGATACGAGTTTTCAAAATCCTTCCAACCACCTTGTTTCCGGTGTTCCTCTTCAATTGATGGAGCAACAGACCACAACCGAGAGCAAAAACGTCGATTTGAATGAGAAGCACCAGCAAACGAACACGGGGAGCATGGATTTGAATGAGGAGAGCAAAGATGGAGGTGAAGACGACGGCGAGAGAGATGTTGAGGAGTTTCGGATTTTGGGGCATTCTATGTGTTTAAAAAGGCGAAGGGATAACAATACCCCCAGCTGCGCCACCACTGATTCAGCTTCATCTCAGACGTTGTCAAAACGGTGTCATACAGAGCAAAACAGGCATCCTCAAAGTCTTGAGTCGCGTAGACAAGCTGTTCGAGCATGGGGGAACCAGTCCCTTCAAGCTGCTGACCCTGATATATTTGACATATTGGAAAAAGAGAAGCATAGACAATACAAAGGGATTGAACTAATAGCCTCTGAAAATTTTGTTTGTAAAGCAGTTATGGAAGCTTTGGGGAGTCATGTCACAAACAAGTATTCTGAAGGCATGCCAGGAGCTAGATACTATACTGGAAACCAATACATAGATGAGATTGAAACTCTTTGTTGCCAACGAGCTTTAGTTGCATTTGGTCTTGATTCAGAGAGCTGGGGAGTAAATGTTCAACCCTATTCTTGTACATCTGCCAATTTTGCAGTGTATACTGGTTTGCTGTCGCCTGGTGATAGAATTATGGGGTTGGATACCCCTTCTGGAGGGAATACAAGTCATGGGTACTATACACCTAATGGAAAGAAAGTTTCAGGGGCTTCAATTTTCTTTGAAAGTCTTTCTTACAAGGTTAATCCACAAACGGGTATTATAGATTTTGAGAAGCTTGAAGAAAGGGCCCTGGATTTTCGCCCAAAGATTCTTATTTGTGGTGGGAGTTCATATCCTCGTGAATGGGATTATTCTAAATTTAGACAGATTGCTGACAAATGTGGTGCAGTCTTGATGTGTGACATGGCTCAAATCAGTGGTCTTATTGCTGCCAAGGTACATTCTTTTGCTAATTGCCAAATTGTGCTTTTGATCACTATTTGAGATTCATTTTGTGCTTTAAGTTTGCCATAATATCTTGTTTATGTGACAGCTATTACTTATGAAAAATTGGCATTAGCTTTTTGAGTTATTGTTTGAAAAGCTTTTAGCTTTAGACCCTTTTTTCCTAAAAAAAGTCTTACTTTTTTGTGAATAAAGAAACTTTTGTAATTTATCATGTAAAGAAACATTAGCCGATTTTAGGGGCTTCTTTTAAAACAACATGTGAGGGCTTTTCTAAAACCGACTATTCTCATAACTTTAATTCGATTTATTATTGTTATCATCTTGCTTGTAGTCTTTTTTTGAAAAAGTTATCGTTTTTCAACAATAACTTTAATTGTTTCTTTTAATTTTCATCTAAATTTATCTTTATGGTGAATGATTAACAGGAATGTGCTAGCCCTTTTGAATTTTGTGACATTGTGACTTCAACTACTCACAAAAGTCTTAGAGGCCCACGAGGGGGTATAATATTTTACAAAAAAGGTCCAAAACCTAGGAAAAGAGGAATGCTTCTGAATCAAGTTGATGGAAGTGACAAATATGAGTTTGAGGAAAAGATAAATTTTGCTGTATGTCCCGCACTTCAAGGTGGGCCCCACAATAATCACATTGCTGCCCTTGCAATTGCCCTGAAACAATTAGCCACTCCAGAGTACAAAGATTACATGCAACAAGTGAAGAAAAATGCTCAAGCATTAGCTTCTGCTTTGTTGAGAAGAAATTGCAGACTTGTTACTGGAGGCACTGATAATCATTTGTTACTTTGGGATCTTAGAAATCTTGGATTAACAGGTATAAATTTTATTTTTAATATGAATTTGGTGGTTTATAGAAATAGTAATACACTAATACTCATGGTTTTTATTTCAGGTAAAAACTTAGAGAAAGTATGTGAGATGTGTCATATCACTGTTAACAAAATTGCCATATTTGATGATAATGGGACTCTAATTCCTGGTGGAGTGAGGATTGGTAAGTTAAAAAAAATTATATAATAATAATAAGAAAAGTAGATTGAAAGTGATATTAATTATCAAACATGTTCAGGTACTCCTGCAATGACATCACGAGGTTGTTTGGAACCAGATTTTGAGACAATGGCAGACTTTCTATGTAGAGCAGCTCAAATCACAAGTTCAGTTCAAAGGGAACATGGAAAAATGGTGAAATCTTTCATCAAAGGACTTGAAAACAACAAAGATATTATCGATCTTGGAGCTCAAGTTGAGAACTTTGCAATCCAATTTGCAATGCCAGGTCAAGACTTGTAGAAAAAAAAAATTATAACTCAGTTTGGTGGCACAATTTCCTGCATATTTTTTAGTTTAATGTTGCGTGGAAGAAAAAAAAAACAAAAAAGAAAAATGAAAAGTTCATGAGTAAGTAACATACAGCTGGGCTAGTAGGCTGGCATATATGAATATGATATATATATTTTTTGATTTTGACTTTTGATAAAATGGGAGATATAATATTGAATAGCATATTTTTTGGTATATTATTGTGTTCAACTTGTATTTGTTTAGTTTTGTGTTCATATCTATTCTTGATAATTCTATTTCGTTCCTCGTTTCTTGTCATTGATTAATTGTGGGAATATCAAATTGGTATCAGAGCTAACAATGATATGATTTGCTTATTTTTGTTATTCGTTTTGTTTCATTGAAATTTATGTTTGATTTATTGATCAGTTTACTTTTGTTTCAAGTTCTTTGTATTGCTTTTCGATGATCTCAAAAGCGAACTAGAGTTACCAAGGAATGTATTTGATTAACATTGTAAGACCACCTACAATGGTTCTTTCAAATAAAATTGCCATGTGGATATTGCAATTGGATATTAAGCTTTGGAAAGTGGGCTTCGTGGTGCACTCGCCAAGGCAGCACTAGAGCGCTTCTAGCGTTGCACACCACCCCCCATCAAAGGCGCTAGAGGTGCTGCCAAGGAATGCTCGCTATGGGCACAGCACGAGAAAGAGAGGAGAGAAAAACTTGGATGTTGGTTTTCCTATTTTTTTTTTCTTTTTAAACCTATTAAACTTAGACACTAACACTCTCTATCTTTTTACAACTTGGATGCTAACGTTCTTCCTAGCTTATGTAGCTTATGTGGTGTGACAACATGATAAACATGCTACAACTTTCTTCCCCCTTATTGAAAGCCACGCCAATTTTCCCTTTCAATTGCAGGCTTGCAAATATTAATCGGCGGGCTTTTTTAAAATAACAAAAAATATATATATATATATATATATATATATATATATATATATGTTCAATTATTATAATAGAAATAAAACAATTTTAGTACAAATCAATAAAAATAAATATGTAAATATGATTCATGTATATGTTAAGTTATTATTATATGATTATTAGTTTTTAATAATAGAGATATTAGTTAAAAATAAAAAATATTTGTTGATGTGGGGACCATTTTTGAAAGTTGGTTTATGCCTTAATGTAGAGATTATTGCAAATGATGATGTGACAAGTTTGAAAGATTAGTGAGATTGTATTGGTATGGATGGTCTAATCGTTTTAAACTGATTAGAACTGGTATTAATAAGTCTGACAATGAAATTAATATCAACTTCTTTAATGGGTTGATTGAATGTTGGGCATTTGTCAAGATGATTGTGTGGGGTTCAAAGGACTCGAAAAAATTTACATTACATGATTTGTGCGGTTAATCGCATGCTATAGTGTTTAGCAGTCATCTATGAAATAGCGGTTGTGCAATTAGTGCCATGATTTACCCATATTTATCGTAATTATGAATAATGTTGGGCAACTTGGTCAAAGTCAATGGTCAATAGTCAAAAAGTCAATGGTCAACTTCCAGACAATTTACGCCCCGTGTACATGAAGCTCTACGCATTACGTAGAGCTCAAGGAGGTAAAACGAGCACAAAAGGAGCTATGCGTAACGTAGCTAAAACTGCGCATTGCATAGTACCTTGTTGTCTAACTTTTCATATTAAGTGCTTAATAAAGAAAGTTAACCCTCCAAACTTCCAAATCTATACTAGATGGACGTCTTAATGGATAACGTCTCTGACTTTATCCATTTACATGCATACAAAGAGCACTAATCCAAACCCTAGGTCCAAAAAGCCTTTTATTGCTCAAAGGCCTTTGCATGGATGAATGAGAGTAAACAAGCTCTCATTTTTATGACTTGGCAACCCCAAGAACAACTGGAAATGACATTTAATAGGACCTAGAGTAGCTTATACTCACAAAGGCCAAGGTTATGAGGACAAAAGCATAGAAATCTCAAATGTAACTAGATCTAATCATGAACATCATCAAGGTAAGAACTTTATACCTCATGGAGGATGATTATGTGATGCAAGTTCCAGATCTACAAAGCTTGGAGCTTCTCAAATGCTTTCCAATAGAGTTCTTCCTTCAAAGATGCACACAAAACACTTAAAGGTCACCAAAACTCACACAAGAAGGTTAGGGTTTCGAGGTGGCTACTTAAAGAGGAGGGGGGGGGGGGGAGGCTGAGCATGGATGATGCCTTAAGGGGTTAGAGCCTTTAAATAAGGCTCACAACCCCAAGAATTAGGGTTTTGGTTCTGGGCTCCTACCGCCTGCGCACCTTGATATACGCCCTGCGTAGATCATTTAAATCCCGTGTCCAAGTTTCCTTGCAATGACATTAATGAATGTGTTGATCACGTTTCTAATAATAGCAATATTAATTGTAGATTTGATTCTTATGAGTTCATGCTTGTGTTACTATCATATTTAACCAAGTGAAAAGAAATCTCATCACCAAGTTTCAACTGGACAGAAACTTGGAGTCATACGATTCAAATTGCATGATGCATGAGAATTTTGTTCATTAGAAAAATCATGACTACATCCTTGTTCATATGTTTATGTGAAACAAGTGAAGGATTGATTGATCTAGTATATATTGATATAGACCTTTTAGATCCACCACAAGGAATGATAACTCTATTCGTCATGATTTACTGATGCTTTAGTATATATATTTTGTTTATAAGATTAAGTAGAATTCTGATGCTTTTGAAAAGATTCAAAGAGTATCAGAACAAAGAAAAGAATCTATTAGGCAGAAAGATAAAAGATTCTCCAATCTAAAAGGAAATGAGACTACTTTAGTATCATGTTTTATGATCATCTGGAATTGTATCACAATTAATCCTCAAAGAACATCTTAATGCAATTGTATGACTAAGAAGAGGAATCGAATATTGTTGCAGATGGTTCGATAATAGAGGAGTCATGTTTCATTCCACATCACATTTTAGAGCTGTGCTCTAGTTACTATAAATTGTATCTTGAAACTCATTCCAAACTAAGAAGGTTGATAACATCTCGTAATATGTGGAGTAAGAATGCTTTCCTTACTGTAGCACATTTAGAGTTCGACTTGCGATGTTTTCATTGATTGAGAAACAAAAGATAAACTAAGCCCAATTCTATTTTCTTGTTGGAAATCTGCACAAACTTTTGAATATTTGTTTTAGCTCATCAAGAAATGTTCCTTGAGATAAAAATCATATTTCAAGAAGTCAGTGGTAGTCATATTGATCTTGAGAGTTGCAAGAGTTAACAGACAATGATCATTTTAGTTATCACTAGCACGCGACCTGAGGTTAAATGACCTGTTGTGTTTTAATTAACATATTCTTATTTTTGTGCACTTCCAGTTAAGTTGACAACTCTTATGAGCTCTATGTTTTTCATCTAACTGCAGAAGCAAAGCGCGTTGGTTAGTGAAAGTACACTAATCAATATGGGTGGGCTGCTAACGACACGAAAGCACTGGTAGGCCTTGAGCTACTAAAAAATAAGGAATTTAGAATAGCGAAGTTCAGTCCATGAAGGAAAAATAAGTTTAAGTTTGGTTTGTCCTAAACGTAGTCTTATGACTGTAGGTTGGAAATGAAAGGTTCACATGGATTGGAACGTATGCACCTTCAAATTTAAGGGGCAAAAGTTTTCTCTCTAATTCATGAAAATTATTATGAGGAAATATTTTCGCTAATAGATTTTAAAAATCTGATAAAGATCGATACGGATATTGGTTATATTAATGGAATTCTCTTATTTACAATATGCTTACGATATCCCTCATCATATTTCAGATTATGTGGAATGGCAAAGAATTGTTTGAACTTTCAAGAGATATATTTATCAATCATGAAGGGTTTAAACACACACACACACACACACAAAAACACACAATATCCAAATAAGGTGTATAAGATTACGAAGTCTAATCAGAGAATTAACGAAGCATCACGTAACAGAAATATGCACTTATGTACGAAAATCAAAGGGTATTGGTTTCTAGAAGTCCATTTAATTTCTGGGTACATGTCAAAGCTGGTGGGAGCATAATTGTTGTAACATCCCAAAAATCATGACAAAAATTTTCATTTTTAAACCCATCCCAAAATCCATAAGTTATACAATAATATAGTATCCAAAATCAAAATCATGAATTAGAGTGTCCCAAAATCATTGTAACATTCACTTTCAGGCACTTTTCAGTTTAAACTTAAAATCCAAAAAGGTTACATTTTCAGTCCCTACGCATGGTGTAAGTGGGAGCTACGCCTTGCGTAACTCTTTTATTTTGGATGTAGATCTTGGCTCGTACGCTGGGCGTATGTGGAGGTACATCGAACGTACTCGTGTGAACTTCAAACCCTAATTTTTAGGGTTTGGCCCTTATTTAAACACCTTATTCCCCTTGTGGCCTCTTCATGCTCAGCCTCCTTTCACCCCAAAGCTAATATTCGAAACCCTAGCCATAATTAGTGAAGTTTGATATCTTTGAGTTGTTTTGTGGGTTTTTGGTGCTCTTAGAAGAAGAAGAAGTCCATCATTGATGCTTGGAGAAGCTCAAGCTCATAGATCTAGAACTTTCATCATCCTTGCAAGCTTCTAGAGGTATAAAGCATGTACCTTTATGTTTCTTTTTTCAAGATCTAGATTTGGACCATGTTATGTTATTCTTTTGGTCCCAAGATTTGGACTTTTGAGGCTTGGGTTCTTCCAAATTGTCTTGAGTGTCTTTTCTGATCATTTTGAGCTTATAAAGTCATAAATATGGGAGCTTGGACACCCCATTCATCCATGCATAAGATTTTGGGAGTTAGAGTATTCTTTGTACTTAGGGTTCGGATTTGTGCCTTACGGATCCATGCAAAGGTGATAGGATTAAATCCTTTAAGATCGACAAGATTCAAAAACAATATGTAAATAAGAACACGACAATGATTCAAATGAGTTGAATGATTAAGCTTCACAGCCTCAGAAGAGCTCGACAAAGAACTTCTACTGTAGAGGCGTGATTAGGGTTTACAAATTATTACTTAAGATCAAAAGCGTTAACGACCTACGGTGCATGCATGCACTATATATACATAAACCCTAATAAATGAGACGGCTGGACAGGCCCAAAACCGTGTACATATTGGACTAAATATTGTAAGCCCAATGACGCAACACCTAATACCC